CCTCTGCTTCTTCCAGCACCCTATACTGCCAGATACTAGCATTTATCATCATAATATACATTCATTTTATAGTCTGACTTTCTCCTAAACCATATGCTGCTTTGGGCACAAACTGGGTCAAATTCATCTCTGTATCTCCAATGCCTAGGAGTGCATCAAATATAGAAGTTGCATAATAGATATCCATGAAATCAATGAACATAGTAGATGACTACACACTATTTTCCTTTTCAGCATTAAAATCCATGAGACACGAAATTTTAACCCGTCACAAACTTTGTTATAAAATTTATTATTAGATACATATACCATAATCATAGTTCTCTAATATTAGTGTTCCTTAATAATAAAAAAGAGTGCTGTGAATTCTGTAAGACTGTTGAATCACAGACCTGTACCTCTGAAACAAATTATACATTATATGTTAAAAAAAAAGAAGAAGATAGCAGGAAGGGAAAAATGAAGGGGGGGAAGTTGGAGGGGGAGACGAACCATGAGAGACGATGGACTCTGAAAAACAAACAGGATTCTGGAGTGGAGGGGGGTGAGAGGATGGGTTAGCCTGGTGATGGGTATTAAAGAGGGCACGTTCTGCGTGGAGCACTGGGTGTTATACGCAAACAATGAATCACGGAACACTACATCAAAAACTAATGATGTAATGTATGGTGATTAACATAACATAATAAAAAAAACCACAGATATTTTGTAATTTAAAAGGAACAAAGTCAATGAAAGCAAAACCATGTCTAATTATTTTTGCTATTACAAAATAACTACCCAACATATGTATTTTCCTTCTGTCATCAGCTGAACAAATCTAGAAAAACAAAGCATCTCATGGAGCTAAGATTAACAGTACTGAGCATTTATAGAATAAGCATATTTCATAATGAGGCTGAAAAGAAATTCAACTTTCCTATGAGCATTCGGTCTCTTACATAGCATACTCATCAATAATAGCAAAGCATCCTTTTCATGACCTCATACGGTTCAGTGTCTGCCACTTCTTTCTTCCTAAACCTCAAAGAATTACCCTTCCCTCTTGATAAGTACCTCACAGGTGTATTCAGTCCTTGGCAATATTCTAGGTTTTCTTCTTCTCTTCCTTCCATCCTATCCTGCACATTCACCATGCACCAGGATTTGACAAATCACAGGTTCTCTAAACACCTCCACTTCCTCCCTATGAAGATCACGATCAAATTCTCATCCACTGACCTTATTTCCTAAAACATATCCATGCGTTCTCTTACAGCATTCAAATCTACTCAAGCTGTCCTCCAAACAATTCCTTTCACCAGTCCTCATTCCTCCAATACTGTACTTTAAAAATACATCTCAGCATCCGCTCTCCCCATTAATTAACTATACATTTATTGAACACTTCATGTGCCAGATTAGTAAAGGTAATTTCAAACAACCACCCACAATTCATTTGTTCATCCAACAAACATTTATTATGTGCCCAATACATGGCAGATAATATGTTAGGCACTAGGGATACAAAGTGAACAGAAGTGGATGGTCCTTGGACTCACAGAGCTTATAATCTAATAGGATGAGAGAGTTCTTAAACAATCACTGAATAACTGTGTAACTGTAAACTAAGATTAATACAATGTAAGAATGACTAAGAGTGCTGAGAAAGCCTATTATGTAGAATCTAATTTGGAAGAAACAATGCTTCTCCAAAGAAGTAATGTTTAAATTTAGATCCAAAGGAAGAGTAGGAATTAACTAAACAAAGAGGAAAAAAAGATAATTTTTGGCAAAGAGAACAGCTTGTACAGAGAAGTACTGGACAGAAGGCAGCACTGTGCATCTGAGAAAAGAGTACAGGCGAAATGGCAGGAGACAAGAAGGGGCCACATAAGACCATCAAGACCTTCCAGGGCAGTAGGCTATACCAAGCAGCAGCTCATTTGTTTTCTCTCTAAGCAAATAAATCTTAAAAAAAAATAAAATGTTAAAAAAAGAAAAATCCAAGAAAAGATGTACAGCACAATGCTATACAAAGTGTGGTCAGCAAACTATTTGTTACTGGTTCATGATGGGATAAATACAGCAAATAAGAGTTTAGTAGCTTTTATTATAATTGGACAGAGTAATCCTACATCTCCTAAATCCAATAAAAATTTCTATTTTTAAACTTATTTTTCTAGTAATTTCTTTTTTATTGTATTTTACAACAGTGCCAAGCTGTGACACACACACACATATATATATATATATTTTTTTTTTTTTTTTTTTGAGAGAGAGTGAGCCAGCGAGAGAGAGCACAAGCTGCAGGAGGGGCAGAGGGAGAGGGAGAAGCAGACTCCCCTCTGAGCAGGGAGCCCGATGCAGGACTCAATCCCAGGACCCTAGGATCATGACCTGAGCCAAAGGCAGCTGCTTAACCAACTGAGCCACCCAGGCACCCCAATATATCATATTTTAAAAAACTTTCCCTACAGAGTTTGAGTAGTATTGGCCTAAAAGGCACCTGAACCAAGACTCAGAAATAGTATAAATCACAAATATAAATTAGAAAATGGTGAAAGTATAGATGGAAAACTCTGAACATTGGATGAACTTGACAAAGAAAGATTTATACAGAGAAAAAGAGGGTTTTAGGACTAAGAATTGAGGAACTTAGCCATTTGGCAGCCAAGTAGAAAATGAGCCTGCAAAGGAAACTGAAAATCTACCTACCAACAAAAGGATGGAGAAAAACTAGGAAAGTTTAATGGCACATAGCCAAAAATTAAAGTGTGGTTTGTTTGGTTTTTTTTAAGATTCTAATTATTTATTTGAGAAGCAAGAGAGAGTGAGAGAGAGAGAGTATGAGCCAGGTGGAGGGGCATGGGGAGAGAGAGAAGCAGATTTCCCACTGAGCAGGGAGACCCATGAGGGGCTTGATCCCAGGACCCTGGGATCATGACCTGAGCCAAAGGCTGATGCTTAACCTACTGAGCCACCCAGGTGCCCCCCAAAATTAAAGTGTTTTAAGAAAAAGGAAATGGTAGACAATGCCAAAAGTTGCTGAGAGGTCAAGTAAGGGAAGTAGAGAAAAACTGTCCATTATATTTATCAACATGGAGATGATCAGTGACCATGACAGGGACAGTTTCCATAGAATGATGGGATAGATGTCAAAACTTAAATAGGCTAAGGAGTAGGTGACAGATGAGTAGGCAGAGACTACTCCATTTATGAAACTTGGCAATGAGCTACACCTGGCTGGCTCAGTCAGTAGAGTATGCGACTCTTGATCTCAGGGTCTTGAGTTCAAGTCCAACGCTGGGAGATCACTTAAAAATAAAATCTTAAAAAAAAAAAAAAAGAAAGAATCTTGGCAATGAAAGGATGGAAACAGAGAGAGTGGTGGTAAGAAGAAAATGTGGAACTTTTATTTTGATTTAAGATGTAAGAGAAATCAGCAGGTTTAAATTTCAAGGGAAGGATCCAGTTGAAAAAGAGATTATATATTCAGGACAGAACAAATTATTCTCTGATCCCTAAATGAAACTGAAAACACTGTGTTAACTCTAAGATTGTCATTAGGTTGTGCATTAGACATAAAATTCTTGCCACACAGTTTAACTGATGTTCCATTTTTTCAAAGCTATAACACAGCTTCAATACACAGAAGCTTTACCAATTAACTTTTCCGATAAATCCATTCCCCTAACTCAAGGGAGCTGTGATCTAGGATAAGGGCTTTAAAGTCAAATACCGCCTGCCACTGGGTACCTGCGGAACCTGGAGCCAATTACATTAACTATTCTTTCTCTGTGAAATGGGCATAATAATACATTCCCATCTTCCAGGGCTTCTATTAAAGTTAAATGAGATATGTGACATACCCAACCTACTGATAACAATACTATGTAACTGGTAGCTGTTATTAAATATCAGAACCTGTGTAGTAGAAGAAAAAACCCTAAAGCCTTTCATTCTTAGAGACACAGCGATATCTCTCAGGAAGGATGTATCCACATCTCTACTGAGTGTTTAGTTTTCTGGTATATATATCCCGTGCTCGCTACCTTTAAGCAATGTTACAGTTAAATATGTCGTTAATCTTAAACGAGGCAAAGTCGTTTCAAGTGCAACTTATAAATTCAAAACAATTTACAAAAGTGATAGCGTGACTTAATCCACGGATAAGCCGTTTCTGCCTAACTTCTCCAATGCAGGCACGGCTTCGGGTGTACGAACTTGTGTGCCATTCTCACACCCGTGTCTCGCCCAATTCTCAAAAGCCTCTGCACCTTAAAGGCGGCATCGCTAGGTCTACGTTCTTCTCAGGCTGCGCCCCCTCGGCCTCAGGTCTCCCACCCAGAACAATTTACCCTTTTCTAGGAAGTTGGTCACCACCAGAATCCCGGCCGCTGCCGCCGTGCCTGGCCCGGCAGAAGGAGGCGAGGGCCCCGAAGGAGAGGAAGCAGAAGAGGGCGAGGTTGAACCATTCTCTGCGCTTCGGTTCAGCCGTTTCCTGTTCTTCTTGGAAGACATGATCAGGAGGCAACCTAGGAAAAGCTACCGCAAAGCCGGCTCAACGTGCTCGGGTCCCTGGAAGAAAAACTTCCGGGGCAGAAGTCAGTGAGACTCCGCCCTGCGCCGTAACACCCCAAGTGGAGCGCAGTGGAAAAAGGGAGACCCGAGCATTTTCAGAACCCGCCATCTTGGAAGAAGAGGTTCTGACTTTTGCAAAGGAAGACGGATTATGTTGACACAAGCGTCATTTAGATTGTAAATTCCTGAAAGGATTTTTTTGGCATCTCTGCCCGCCTTTCCCATCCCATCCCTGAACAAATGTCTGTGGACTTAAACTAGAAAAAGAAATCGGTGGAAAAGTTTCTCTCCGGCTTTCCTGGAACCGGGCAAATTCCTGAGAGGAGCTGGTGAACAGGACTTCGCGGTCCCTTCCGTACAGCGCTAAAAAAAAAAAAAAAAAAAAAAGTGGTAACAGCGCAACTTCGAGATAGATGGGTGGCACTCTTCTAAAGTTTACGGTAGAGACCTCCGCTCTGGAACTCAAAGGAGGGTTACTTTAGGGGCTGAGCTAGTGGTGGGACGCGGACGCGTAAATGCTGCCACTACCAACGGGACGTTTTTGGCGCGCTGTGCTCTTGCGGACCTGCAGCGCAAGGCTCTTGGGGCACCACTGGGCTTCCGGCGGTCCGGGTTGCAGGTGGAACCCTCCTGTCGGAGCGGAAGAACTGCGGGGAGAGCTGGACAGATTCGGGGGCGTCTCAGTGCGCCTTCCGCGGCTCGGCGCACTGGACCGCCTGGACGCCGCCTCATTCCAGAGGGACTTGCAGGGCAAGTGTTCCTGGGCCGAGGGGTTCCCTGGCTCCGGAGACTTTCTAATGAAGTAACCGGGGCCCCTGTTCACCTGACACGCTCTCCGCGAATCAAGTACCGAGTCCTAGGGAGAGAGGGCAGGTGTGACCCGTACCAATTTCGCCCCCTTTCGTTCTTGTGTCCCTTGCTGGGAGGTTTCTGGGGCGGTTGGGTGAAATGGTAACTATCCCAGACTTTGAGATCGGCAGCCCTAGTTTCTGCTGCACTTTCTAGTGTGTGACCTTCGGCAAGTTGTGTAAACTACCATTTCCCCTACCATAAAACCGGTTAGTATCGCATAGGATTGCTGAGGGTTAAGTTGGGTAATGCATATAAAGTGCATATCACGGTCTCTGCCACATACTTAACGCTCAGTAATGTTAATATTATTTCATTATTGTTTACTATCATTTACCGAGCCTTAGTTCTGCGGGCACTTTGCCCGAGACAAAACTATACAGGTGGTGGACAATGAGTGGACCAGAGAGATACTAAGTGGTCATTTTTGTACACAAATTAGGTCAGGCTGACGCATCAAGAACTAGAGTTTGCTAGAGACAGAGCAATAAGTCTTTTATGGTTAACAAGGGAGGGTAGTGGGCGGTTTCAGTCTTCAATAAGAAAACTCTCACTCTCCTTGAACCTAAGTCCAAAGAGGAAAGAAAGCTTTGTTGGAGAAGCCTTCAGTTTGAGAGAAGCCCGTGATTTGGTTGGGTTTTTTTCACACTGCCCCTGATGGTTCTTCTATTAGAATTGAAGGCCTAGTACGGAAATTTAGCCATGGAAAGATTCTCTCACTCTAAAAAGAAACTTCAGATAATCTTTATCCTATTGAGCTATTAATAAGGCAAGTGAGCATCACTTGTCAATATAACTGAGCTAGTTATTTCATTCTTTAATCATTTTCCTTCCCAAACTACCTCTTCACTGCATTTTCTCTCCTACTTGTGAATAATTGCTGACTCCAACAATATCAACAGTAGGAGAATCAAGTCAAAATTCATCCTCTAATATATCTACCCATGTGTAGTATAGGAAGATACAGGTATTTATTGCACACACTTGTCACTCGTCAGTAGCCAGGTGGTTAAAGCACTTTCTTAGAAAGGCAAAGCTTGAGAGTTGGGTTTAGAGTCACACATCCGGGTTTCAAGCCCCAGATTCTGACAGGTGCTTAGTTGGGTAGAAGGCAAACCACCACTAAAAATATTTGCCTCTTACGTTGCGTACATAAATAATGCCAACCCTAATTACTTTACTGGATACATGTGCTCGAAGATAAATTATAGGAAACTAATTTATAATCTGTGTAGTACCATATACTTTTTATAGTTTTTAATAAACATTTTAATGTTTTAATAAAACATTATATTGCATTTATGAATTCCTATTGCTAAACACTTTTAAGAACTTTACAAATATTAATTCATTTAATCCTCATAACAACTCTGGGGTAGATACTGTTACCTTTACTTTAAAGGTGATGGTACTGAGGCACAGAGAGATAAGTAACTTCCCTTGGCTCTAGAATCTGTTCTTAATGCATTATGCTGCCTCTAAGAGCTAATGCAAATTTTGTTATTAAGTCAAACTAGTTTTTTCACTTGATTAGAATGACTAGGGAGGATATGTGAACTTTCTGAGATAATAGAAATGTTCTTTAGTCTTTATTGGAGTGTGTTACATAGGTGTATGCATATGTCAGAACTCATTAAATGTACACTTAAGATTTGTGTGCTTCACTTTATGTAATTGTACATCAATTTTAAAAAGATTTAAATCAGAGAAAGAGGTGGGCGAGAAGGATCTGACTCCATAGCCCCAAATCAAGAAGCTTTTATGAAAGGCTCCCATGTGTTTGTCACTGTATTAGACCTACTGCCTTTTAAAGAGGTAGAGAACAGGGTCCTCAATGGGGGAGTCACTGCACAGCTGGAGAAGAGGGGGAAAAGAAATTTAACCATTAAATAAATAATCAAACCTTCCCACCACCCACGCACACAATTTGCAAGATTATTTTAAAGATTAAGTGAGGTGATGGATGGAGAAAGTGATCTGAGAAGTTTTTCTAAGACTGCAATATTATTCACCCATAAATTAGGGGCGATAATACTTGCTTTTCAGGTTGTGAGAACGTAATGAGATAATATATGTAGAGTGTCTAGAACTTAGTAAGGACCAAATGTTAGAATCTTTTTCTTCTGGCTCAATCTTAGGTAATAAAATAAGAGAATTTGCAGAAGTCAAAAACAGAAAAATCTACGTTCATCTTGGTATTTAGGAGTAGGAGTAAGAGGTTGGTTAAGTAGCTTTTGGTGTACCTATCTGAGGAAAATTATGCAGTCATTAAAAGTTTACGTTCATTAATTTTGATGACATAGCACAATGTTTATAATAAGTAGTAAAAGATATGCTGTAAATTATATATGGTGTGATGTCAATTCCAAAATTATATTCATGGAAAAATGTCAAAATTATATTTTTATCTCTGCATGCTAGTAAGATATGAAGTTTTGATTTCTTCATTATATTTTCAGTTTTTTCTAGGACTGGTATACATTATTTAAAAACAAAGTTAGAGTTTTAACCACTGTGAAATTTATAAGCCAAAAAAATTATAACATCTCTTAAAGAAAGTGTAAGTAGAAGCCCATAATAGTCATTTATAAAGATTAAAACTAAGGATGTTAAAAGGAACAGCATTAAAATGGTATTTTATTTAAATTGAATTTTTTTGTTCATTCTACAAATATTGAGCACCAGTTATGTGCCAAGCATTGTGGTCAGGTGATATGGATATACTGACTATTCTCAAGGAATTCAGTCTGATGGAAAAATCACATAAGCAAGGTACTAATTACAGTAAAACATGATAGTTCCCATGTTGTTGATGTGAACCAGAGCGTTTTAGGATTCCTCTCCCCCATCGCTTCCAAGCTAACTACTAAGGGAGGTGGATGTTTTAGGATGGCTTTTTAGAAGAGGTGACACCTGAGATCTTCCACTCCTTTCACTGGAAAATGTTTACAGATTTTTATCCTCATCTGCATTTTAGCTGCAGTACAACAATGGAGATCAGAAGGTAGGATAGCGGTATGGCTGCATGTTCCCATCCTCCAAAGCCGATTTATTGCCCCTGCTGCTTCCCTGGGTTTCCGCTTTCACCATGCAGAATCGGATTCATCCACGCTGACACTGTGGCTGGGAGAGGGACCCAGCAGATTACCAGGATATGCTACCCATCAAGTAGGAGTTGCAGGTCAGTTTCAAACTAACAATAAAATTAACCTTTTAGAGGTTCAGCCAATTTTTTCTTACAGCTAAGTGATAGTTTATTCATGTGTAAGGGGTAGCTTGATAAAATGTTTATCCTTGGGATTATTAAGGAGTGCTTTAAATAGATGAAGTTTGCCTTATGAATCAGCAGAGGGCAGCACACCAAACAATTTTGGTGTTTAAGAGGATACCTTTGAACACTTTTATAGAGGTATTTGAACTTCAGTACTCAAATGGTAACACTGAATTGGGCTCAGGGACTAAATCATTATGGTAAAACATATTAGTACTAATTATGTGAATGTGTAAAATAAAAGATAACTTTTAGGTTAAATTTAAGGTAAAGCAAAGCAGATTTTTTATTTGGATATTACTTCTTAAAGATAATTACATTAAGTTATGGTGCCAAACAGTTGCTTAAGATAGCATGATTTAAGTATATTACGGACTTTTCAAGACACTGATTAACTTCAGAGACATGGTCTTGAGAGATTTGCTTTAGGTTAAGACTGGAGTTCTCAAATTGTAGAGTGCATCAAAATTACCTGGAGAGTTTACTGAAAACACCACTGCTGGGCCCCACATCTAAGAGTTTCTGATTCAGTTGGTGTGGGTTGCCAGAAAATTTGCATTTCTAATAAATTCTCTGCTGCTACTGCTAATGTTAATGCTGGTCCCTGAACCATGGGTAAAAAAAACTGAAATAGTAAGTCCTTATGACTTAAATGAAAGCAGTATTATATATAAGCTAGTAATTTAATAATTTTATTTGCCTTCATATAATTTAAAAGCGTTTTTAAAGGTAGTTTGCACCTTTGAAGTTAAAAAGGAGTTGTTCAAGGATGTCTAATGTTTTCTCTATCCATGATCTCACTCCCTTGTAACAAGTAGAGGCATTTAGAAATTTCCATTCAGCTCTACTTCAAAAGACTGGTAATTTGATAGCACCCTCACACTTCATTAGAAAGTCATGCAGATAATTATTAATTCATTGGTATAGACTTTTAAATTAGACTTTTAAATCCAGTTATTACTACAGAATTGGTAATATATGCATATAGAGTATACTATGAAGCACTTGTTTATAACTAAATAGTATGTATTATAGTTAAGATATACCATAGGAGTTCAGGCAATGAGAGATCTGGAACTTGAAGTCTTGAGTATAACTAGGATATGAAGTGGCTATTAGGGGTGGTAATGAAATCATGTAAGAAATTTTCTGGAAAGGTATAGTGTTTTTTAGGTGAAGGGAAAGTAATTGACATTTACTGTTATAAGCAGCAGAAGGTAGATGTGGCTGGTGAACATACCACCACAAAATATACCACATTGGCATATTGATTATTTTGAGTTCGAGAAACACTAGATACAGGAAGGGTCCTCTGCCTCCCCTTTTTTACCTTAAAGCAGGGCATAAATTTTTTGTACCAGGAAGAGGAGACATTCTTATAGAAGATGGGGAGTTGACACCAAGATGAGTCTGTACAAATAAACCTTATTAAAATAACTCTTGTATTCCATTAATTTCCCCCGTATATGTCCTAATCATTTCCCACCATTTACCTCCTTATCCCAAACCTCTTTTTCTTTTGTCTTGTCATGTCTCCATAATGTATTGCTCTTTGTTGAAATGGTATATATGCCCCTGGGCTTAACCACTTTTTTGGGATTTTCAATTCTTTTAATCAATTCTTCCATCACCACCCCCAGGCCATGTAAATATAATAAAAAAATATATATATATATACACATATATATATATACACACTTTTTTTCTCCATTAATCTGTCTTCTGTCAGTTCAGTTCACAGCCCTAGACATAGAACCTAAGTATTAGAGGAAAAATCTTTCCTTCCCCACACTGGAATGGAGTGAGCTATGGTTTTGTTACTGTTCTTTAAACACAACAAGATTGTATCTGCCTCAGAGCTTTCACACCTATTGGCTCGTCTTCCTGTAGTACTCTTTCCCAGGGCTTTGTTTATCTAGCTTTTTAGAGCTGAAGTTTCTGCTCCAACATCTTCTCAAAATTCTCCCCACCTTCCTGTCTAAAATACAGTCCTCCTGCATCATTCATGGTCCCTTTATCCAGGTCTGTTTTTCTGTATAGCACCCACCACAATCTGAAATTATATCATGTACTTAATTTCCCCCACAATAATATAAACTCCATGAAGGCAGGTATTTTATTTGTCTTTTCCACCACTGTGTTGTCAGGTTAAAGACAGTGTCTGGCATAAAGCAGATACTCAATAAATATTTCTTGAATGATTAGGTAGCTCTTCAAGTAGAAACTCAAGTCCCCAGAGAACACAATTGTGTGGGGAAGGGACACGGTTGCACAGTGAGAATACCAGCTGAGAATCCAGACAGACAGTTTTAGGGCTGTGTGAACTTGGGCACTCAAAATGATACCACTCACACGATTATTGTGAAGAATACCTGAGATGATGCACATAAAGCACTTAGCACAGTATCTTGACTAATCATATTATAATAAAAATCTCTAATCCCTGATCTCTGTGTTTATTTGCCATTTAAGTTGTGACCAGCAGGGGTCGCTCACATTGTGCCTTATCCATGCTGGTTTTGTCTTTGAAGTAAATATTTTGCTCATGTTTATAATTCATTAGGGAAAATTGCAATTTGAGTAATGACAAATTATTAAAATTTAAAAGTAGATTTCCTTGGCATTTCTTTGGCATTCTAACCCTTATAAAGTCCAATTAAATTATAGTTTATGTTTTCTAATGGAAGCCAACATTAATGTTAATTATATCTCACTTAGTGGTTTTCCTTCTTTTTTTTTAAACACTAAAATGTGGAGTTTTCATTTCAGAGAAATTTGTCTTTCCTTGTATTATATACACCTATCCCTTTCTATATTTTATTTCTACATAGCATTGTCACCTCATGTTCTATATAATTTGTTTTCTCTTTGTTTGTTACCTTCTCATACACACCAGAATGTGAGCCCACTGAGGATAGGGAATTTTGTTTTGTTTACCACTATATCCCTAGCACCTAGAAAAATGCCTGACACATAACAGGGTTCAAATAATATATAGAGAACCCATATGTATTATATATAAGAACTCAATTACTATTGAAAGGGTATGTAGTAAATATCTTTTTAACAATATTTCCTCACATTATGTAAATATAAATATTTTTAAATTATAGCATTTAAAGGAATTAATACAAATCATTAAGGTGTCACTTATATTTTTGACCCAGGATTGTCAAAAACAAATAAATCTTATTTATTTGAGTCCCTAACGTCTAGCCAAATGCAGAGTATGCTTGCAGTGTGTATACTGAATGTATGAATAAAAGAAAAGGATTAGAACTTAGGACATATATAAAATAAACAATTATCCCAAAGCAATGTATTGGTATGTTATAAAGTCATACGCACACGGGGTAAAAAAAAAAAAAAAAAAGTAAGTGACTTCAGTGAGATCCTGAACTGAATATTGAGATATTTGAGAGTTAGAGCATCAGAGGCACAACCCATGTTCTATATACACAGTGATTCAAGGAATAAAAATGAGAATGGAAAAGTCACTTCATTTATTCAATAAATATTTTTAAGCACTTAAGATTTGACATTAAAATAAATGCTACAGAAGGATAGAAAGCGAAAGATTAATTTATTTAACAATGTACCATCAGGAATAGATAATCTAGAGAAGAAGCTTATGCAGCTGATTATTCTACAACTTAGCATGTGCTAGAACCATCATTAGTATTCCAAGTTGTTAAAAGAACGTGAATAACTGAACAGTCATTTTATTGCTGGAGAGATTTTAAAAGTGGTCAGGGATGAGGTGGTACTTGAACTAGGCCTTCCAGGATGGGTACGATTTTGATGACCACAGATAGGCGTATGGAGGCATCTAAGGTGAATGAAATTACTATTTCTCAATTATCTTTTACTTTTCCCCCAACAGGAGCTGTATTTGATGAAAATACTAGGAAAATATTGGTTGTACAAGATCGAAATAAAGTAAGTTGCTTCTGCTTTTAAAAAAATCTTTTTTTAATTTTAGTATAATTAACCTACAGTGTTATATTAGTTTTAGGTATGCAATATAGTGATTCAGCAAGTCTATATTTACTCAGTGCTCATCACAGTAAGTGTACTCTTAATTCCCTTCCTCAGTTTCACCCATCCCTGCACTTACTCCCCTCTGGTAACCACCAGTTTATTCTCTATAGTTAAAAGTCTGTTGTTTTGTTTGCCTCTTTTTTTCTTTCATTGTTTGTTTTGTTTAAGTTGCTTCTGCTTTGTAAATTGCTTTCTAAAATTTTCAGTTCTCCCTAGAGAAAAATAAAATGCAGAAATTTTTATATGCTCAAGGAATTACAGAGAGATATTTTAAAAGTTCTTTCTAAGCAGTTATGGATTATTAGGATATTTATTTAATTCCAAAAATACCTATGGAGGCTTTGAAAATGTCAGGATAACCTCATGTTGCTCACTATTATATTATGGCTGCAGAAAAATTATAAATGGCTATATTTAGGTGGGAAGACAACTGTGTTTCTCAGACTGTCAAGATATTCTTCCATTCATTCAGCATTCATTAACTCCCATTCTGAGCCAAGTGCTGAGAATACAAAGGTTGTTAAAACAGCTGACCTTTCAAGTTTTTACTTCTTTGGATCTCTCTTACAGCCCTATGGACTTTTCCTAGATCTTATCATTACTCATATTGTGACTTAATAATTCTTTATTTTAAAATTTCCTTGTTTAATTCATTGTGTGCCTCTATGTCCTGATTGGAAACAATGAGATAGTAGTTAGAGAACAATTTATTTAAGAAGTTTTGCTATAAGGGAAGAAGATAAATGCAGTAGTAATGAGGGTATTTGAGATTAATAGATGAATTTTTAACAACAGATACTAATGCAAGTTTATAACTGAATGGAAATATTTAGTAGGGAAGGAGAAACTTATAATGAAGGAATGAGAAAGATAAATGCAGAAGAGTAATAGATTAAAAAAGGTAAAAGAGGATAAAAATCCAAAGCAGGAATGGAAGGACTAGCTGTGAAAGAGGGAGGGACAGTTATTTTCATTCTTAAAAGAGGAAAAACAAAAAATAAGATTTGTGGAGATATACAGATTTAGTGATGGGACAACATGGGAGCTCCTATCTGAGCACTTCCATTTCCCTCAAAGAAATAGCAGGAAGAGTCACCAACTGAGAAAGATGGGAGAGGAGAGGTTATTTATAGATGTGAGGATAGAAGAGAAGGTATAAAATATTCATCTCAGAAAATGAAGGCAACTAGGGAAGTATAGTAAGATTGACAAATGGTGTTAAATGTCCTCTTAGATTTGTGGGTATTATTGAAAATGAGAGGAATCAAAAAGAGTTCTGTGACTTTCTCAAAGAATTTTCAGCTGCTCAGGCACAAAAAAAGGCAAATACTCAGGTTTAACTAGATTAGAATTTTTCCTGGATAAGTACAACGGAGAAAAGAATTAACTATGTTTGTGTAGGAGTAATTACATTGATGAACCATAAAATTTTTTTATTATTAACATATAATGTATTATTTTTTCAGGGATACAGGTCTGTGATTCATCAGTCTTACACAATACACAGTGCTTACCACAACACATACCCTCTGCAATGTCCATCACCCAGCCACCCCATCCCTCCCACCCCCCTCCACTCCAGCAACCCTCAGTTTGTTTCCTGAGATTAAGGGTCTCCCTCTCTGCTTTTGTCTTGTTTCATTTTTTCCTCTCTTCTCCTATGATCCTCTGCTTTGTTTCTCAAATTCCACATATCAGTGGGATCATATGATAATTGTCTTTCTCTGATTGACTTATTTCACTTAACATAATACCTTCTCGTTCCATCCACGTCGTTGCAAATGGCAAGATTTCATTTTTTGATGGCCGCATAATATTCCATTGTGTGTGTGTGTGTGTGTGTGTGTGTGTTTCTTTGTCCATTCATCCATCTGTGGGTATCTGGGTTCTTCCCATATTTTGGCTATTGTGGACATTGCTGCTATAAACATTGGGGTGCATGTGCCCCTTTGAATCACTATGTTTGTATCCTTTGGGTAAATACCTAGTAGTGCACTTACTGGGTCATAGGGTAGCTTTATTTTTAACTTTTTGAGGAACCTCCATACTGTTTTCCACAGTGGCTGTACCAGTTTGTATTCCCACCAGCAATGCAAGAGGGTTCCACTTTCTCCATATCCTTGCCAGCATCTGTTGTTTCCTGAGTTTTTTATTTTAGCCATTCTGACCTATGTGAGGTGGTATCACTGTGGTTTTGATTTCTATTTCCCTGATGCCAAGTGATGTCGAGTATTTTTTCCATGTGTCTGTTGGCCATTTGGATGTCTTCTTTATTTTTTTTTAAATTTTTTTAAAATTTTTTTTAAAGATTTTATTTATTTATTAGAGAGAGAGAATGAGAGGTAGCATGAGAGGGAAGAGGGTCAGAGGGAGAAGCAGACTCCCTGCCGAGCAGGGAGCCCGATGTGGGACTCGATCCCGGGACTCCAGGATCATGACCTAAGCCGAAGGCAGTCGCTTAACCAACTGAGCCACCCAGGCGCCCTGGATGTCTTCTTTAGAGAAATCTCTGTGCATGTCTTCTGCACATTTCTTGACTGGATTTTTTTGTTTTGGTGTGTTGATAAGTTCTTTAGAGATTTTGGATAGTAGTCTTTATCTGATATGTAATTTGCAAATATGTTCTCCCATTCCATAGGTTGCCTTTTAGTTTTGTTGACTGTTTCCTTTGCTGTGCAAAAGCTTTTATCTTGATGAAGTCCCAAAAATAGTTTGTTTCTCTTGCCTTTGGAGACGTGTCTAGCAAGAAGTTGCTACTGCCTGTGTTCTCCTCTAGGATTTTGATGGATTCCTGTCTCACAGGTCTTTTATCCATTTTGAGTCTATTTTTGTGGATGGTGTAAGGAAATGGTCCAGTTTCATTCTTCTGCATGTGGCTCTCCAATTTTCCCAACACCATTTGTTGAAGAGACTGTCTTTTTTCCATTGGATATTCTTTCCTGCTTTGTCAAAATTTAGTTGACCGTAGAGTTGAGGGTCCATTTCTAGGTTCTCTATTCTGTTCTATTGATCATTGTGTCTGTTTTTGTGCCAGTACCATACTGTCTTGATGATTACAGCTTTGCAATACAGCTTGAAGTCTGGAATTGTGATGCCTCCAACTTTGGTTTTCTTTTTCAATATTCCTTTGGCTATTCAGAGTCTTTTCTGGTTCCATAGAAATTTTAGGATTCCAGCTCTATGAGAAATGCTGATGGTATTTTGATAGGCATTGCATTGAATGTGTAGATTGTGTGGTGGAGAGTTTTTATCAAGAAAAGATGCTATATTTTGTCAGATGATTTTTCTGCATCTGTTGAGAGGATCATATGGTTCTTGTCCTTTCTTTTATTAATGAAGTGTATCACATTAATTGATTTGCGGATGTTGAACTACCCTTGCAGCCCAGGAATAAATCCCACTTCATTGTGAATAATCCTTTTAATGCCCTGTTGGACCCTATTAGCTAGTATCTTGGTGAGTATTTTGGCATCTGTGTTCATCAGTGATATTGTTCTGTAATTCTCCTTTTTGATGGGGTCTTTGTCTGGTTTTGGGATCAAGGTAATGCTGGCCTCAGAATGAGTTTGGAAGTTTTCCTTCCGTTTCTATTTTTTGGAACAGTTTCAGAGGAATAGGTATTAATTCTTCTTTAAATGTTTGGTAGGCCTCCACTTGGAGGCCTTCTGGCCCTGGACTCTTGTTTGTTGGGAGATTTTTGATTACTGATTCAATTTCTTTTCTGATTATGGGTCTGTTTATATTTTCTGTTTCTGTTTCAGTTTTGGTAGTTTATATGTTTCTAGAAATGCATTCATTTCTTCCAGATTGCCTATTTTGTTGACATATAATTGCTCATAATATTCTTTTATAATTGTTTTCTGCCAGTTTTCAGAATACAGGTCTTTCACCTCTTTAGTTAGGTTTATTCCTAGGTATCTTATTATTTTGGGTGCAATTATTTTTTTTTAAGATTTTATTTATTTATTTTGACAGAGACAGCAAGAGGGAACCTAAGCAGGGGGAGTGGGAGAGGGAGAAGCAGGCTTCCTGTTCTCCTGGGATTCCCCCAGGATCCCAGGATCCTGGGATCATGACCTGAGCCAAAGGCAGGCGCTTAACCGACTGAGCCCCTCAGGCGCCCCTATTTTGGGTGCAGTTGTAAATGGGATTTTCTTTTTTTTTTTTTTAAAGATTTTATTTATTAGAGAGAGCACATGAGAGGGGGGAGGGTTAGAGGGAGAAGCAGACTCCCCGCCGAGCAGGGAGCCCGATGCGGGACTCCATCCAGGGACTGGATATTCTTTTCTGTTCTTTTTCTTTTATGATTGTATTTCTGTGGTGTTGGTTGTTATATCTCCTCTCTCATTTGTGATTTTATTTATTTGGGTCCTTTCTCTTTTTTTCTTGACACATCTGGCTAGAAGTTTATCAATTTATTAGTTTTTTCAAAGAATCAGTTTCTGGTTTCATTGATCTGTTTTTTTAGTTTCTGTATCATTTATTTCTGCTCTAATCTTTATTATTGCCCTCCTTCTGCTGGTTTTAGGTTTTGTTTTTTTGTTTTTTTGTTTTTTGTCCATGTGCTACTGGTTTATTTATTCATTTGAGCTTATCATTCCATTTCTGTCTTTGTAAGTGTTAATTAAAAATAGCAACAAAGTAATGTCTTCTTTTGGCTTAGGAGAATAAGAGGCTTCAACATTAATTCAGTAAACCAGGTTTTGTTTCTTGTTCTTTTTCTAGCTCCTTTATGTGTAAGGTTAGGTTGTTTATTTGAGATTTTTCTTGCTTCTTGAGGTGGCCTATATTGCTATAAACTTCCCATTTAGAACCACATTTGCTGTATCCCAAAGGTTTTGAGCCTTTGTTTTCAATTTTGTTTCCATTTACTCTTTTGTTCTTTTATTTCCTGGTTG